TGTTTAAAGATTATGTAGGCTAATCTGATTAATTAAATTAATATATTTCAGAGGTGAAACTTTTCTCTTAATCTCATGTAGCACTGATTGATGTATTTGTAATTTATACCTGCTGTCATGATTTTCAAAAACATGAACTGTAGACACATGATTCATTTGATTCAGCAGCATTTTCATTTCCTTCTCCCTCCTCACAAAAAACCTGAGTCATGTTTGACGTTGCTCCTCACTATTCTGCTGAGTCACAATGAGAGCTGATAGTAGAAGCTGTTAACTATCTCGCCTGTGCAGGAAGGGTGGGATCACGTTCATGTAGTTGGTGAAGTTATAGCTGGAAGCTCTTTTATTCTGTCCAGTCTGAAGAAGTTGAAATCATGTCTTCCTGTTGAATTTTAATATAAACCTTGCTGTGTTTATAACACAGGTCACTGCACCATAACTAATTAGGTAAAAATGTTTCAGTACAGCTCCTTTTATTGTAGTCCCTAGATAAAAGTGATTCTGCCCCTGCACAGTGTTAACATATATGTTACTTGAAATGTTATTAGGCTGCCATTACAGAACACAACCTTTAGGACAATTATTTGATGTTTAGGAATATCATGGTGATGATGGTGTGAGTACCTGTTGCTGCTGCATCCCCGCTGACCTGTTTTATTTCCCAGGATACAATGTGACGGTGCTGGTGCGGGATCCTTCCAAGCTGCCTGCCGACCACAAGGCGTCCAGAGTGGAAGTGGGAGACGTACTTAATAAAGAGGATGTGAAGAAGACCCTGGAAGGCCAGGACGCTGTTATTGTCATCCTGGGCACCAGGAACGACCTCAGTAAGGCGCCACAGTTTAAAGAAAGATACATAAATGAGCAAAAAAAATTATAAGGCAAAAAATTAAATGCAAATTTTGTTTAAGAAAAACTCACATTTATAAATATACTCAGCAAAATAAGAAACATCCTCTCACTTACAGCTGCTTTTATTTTCAGCGAACTTAACATGTTTTAATATTTGTAAAACATAAAAAGGTCCAACAGCTAAGACATAAACTGAACAAAGTTTCACAGACATGTAACAGAAATGGAAAAATGTGTTAACAAACATTGTTACACCCTTTACAATAAAGATATGTAAACTAATTTGGATTTTTACAGAATTATCTTGAAAATACAGTGACCTGAAAAAGGGGCGTTTCTTTTTTTGCTGAATTTAAATATCTATCCCAGAAGTGGCATTGCAGTCAGTGTGTAGCTTCCAACATTTTTTTTAATCAATTTGCAAAGTCCCCTTTGCAGTGCCTTTGGCATTCTCTGATTCTTTGATGTTCATACACACTTTGGATTTTTCTATGTGGTTTTGAATTTGCTGATCTAAAGTTGTAGCATTTCTCTTGCTTTTGCTGCTTTGTGTTCCTCTCACATGTTAACACAACTGGTCACTGTAGGAATTTTCTTTGTAGTGAAAGTTCACGTTTCCTTTCCTTTACTGACCATGTTTACCTTACAGAGGATTGCAGTTGTTAATGCCGTAATATGTAAAACATTCACTAGAGGTCGCCGTAAGACTTTTACAACATTTAACCCTATGTGACATCATCGTATCAGTGTAATGTAATCTCAAAGGCACTATATATAAAAAGTTGGACAGGATTTTCAACATAATAAGGAAAATGTGCATGGATTTCTCCAGGCCAACAATTCCATGATTCAATAAATGTCTAATTGTAGATCAGCTTAAACACAAAGCAGCATGCAGACAACATGGATACAAGACAGGATTCACAAAAAGGTCAAAATATCAGGACTTTATTCATCAAAAGCAGCAACACAATAATATAAAAATACTTCATTCAAGTTCTTCATTCAAAATCCCCCTTCGGTCACAGAACACTTAAATGCTCTATTTATTAAACATGAACACATTTTAAGGTTTAACCCTCATGTTTTCATGTATGTAGTTTACTCTGTACTAGAGGAGCTTTCTGGAATAAAGTGAAGCAAAGTGGAAATACTGTACTTGAGTAAAGTGCAAGTGTCTCAGAACTATACCCAGTTTATCACTTACAGTTTTTAAATATTTAGTTACTTTCCACCTCAGCATGAGTCTGTGATCTGATCTGTGTCATCAGGCCCGACCACCATGATGTCTGAAGGCACCAAGAACATTGTTGAATCCATGAAAGCCCGTGGGATCCGCAAAGTGGTCGGCTGCATGTCAGGTACAACTCACTGTTAAAGGAAATTATATAACAGAGTGGATGAAGTGGTCAAAGTTTATAGTTTATGAGTCTAATAAAAAGTACTTTGAACAATATTTTTTCAGTCTTTTTAAGTCTGTTGGCTTCAGATGAGAAGTGCATTAAACAATTAAAAAGAAATGTACATATTTTACTTTAAGATATATAGATTTGTCTCACACGTATTTAATTGCCCTTTGGTTATGACAAGACAACACAAACTACTGGAAATAAATCATTCTCTTATCTAAGCTTCTCTTTTCTCTCCACTTATTTTCTCTTCACATGCGTTTGTTCAGTGTGTTAATTGCATCCTTCTCTCCTCCTCCTCTCCATTCATCCTATCAATTACTGCTTACATATCCCATTTTCTTCTCTCCGCTTATTTACTTCATCTTTATCCTTGTTCCTCCCAGCCTTCCTGCTGTGGGATCGCTCCAAAGTCCCGCCCCGTTTGGTTCCTGTGACAGAGGACCATGACAGGATGTACACAGTGCTGAAAACATCGGGGCTGGACTACGTGGCCGTCATGCCGCCCCACATTGCTGGTCAGTAGGAAGTAAAAACTAAGAGCTTTATTCCAAACAAAAGTGGGGGGAAAAAAACCTTCAAAGATTATTGCTGGCATAAAAGTGCTGCAGATAAATGGGGAGAATGGGTCATAAAACTTGCAATTGTTATAAGTTTTGTGAGGTTTTGATAATAATTTAAAAAAACATTTTAGACTGTGTAAGACTCTAGACATCACTTTGCGTGAATTTGCTCCAACAGTGTAGTCAGTCTTTATCACCAAAATATGTCTTAAACATATAACAACAATATAACAACAACTCTTAGAAAATCTCAGCCACATCAATTGAGACACTGTAGATTATACTCCTTTGTTCAAAACAAAATTTGGCCACTGATTTGAACATTTTTGTCTTGATTGTATTTTTGAACATTTTAATACTCAGTATTAATCAAGCATAAAATTTTATGTTTACCTGCTTCATTTGACTCACGGTGAGATTTGTCTCTCTATCACATCTCTGACTCTATTAACTGCAGACAGAGAGAGCTTTAATGTGTGTTCCTGTATTTTATATAAATGCTGTTTCCCTTTCGCTCCCTCCAGACGACCTTCCTCTGACAGAGCGTTACATGACGGCAGAGAACATGCTAAAGGGTAGAGCCATCTCTAAACACGACCTGGGACATTTCTTCGTCAAATGTCTGTCCACCTCAGAGTGGGATGGCAAGACTGTCGGTGTGTGGGGAGATTATAAATAATCCTGATCTGCGCCCCACTGATGCCCTCCGGACAGGGGGCACACAATTCTTTATATCCACCAAAATAAACTAAAGAGAGAATATTTTTTGTGCTTGAAGATAAATAAATAAATAATCTGTCTGTGTAGATTCAAACTACTACTGTGTTGTGATAAATCACTAATGCTTTATTGTTTTCACCTTTTATGATCATGACTGAGCAGCTTCTGCTTGTTATATTTTATACTAATTTGAATTTGATCATCAGCTATCACCAGGATACATTTTAAAACAAGTGCCAAACCTGTACTACTGCTTTAGTTGTTTAGTTCTGACTTTTCACATTAACAATCTACATAGTGAATTTTTCGGCATGTGATGTTGCTGCTCTGATTTACAAATGGGCTCCTTTTTTATAATTGTCGACAATAAAATACTTTATTGTATTTCATGTTGTGCTGAAAGAGTAAATGTCATGTGAATGAGCAGAGCTGCAGGCTACTTGTTGCTGGAGTGACAAAACAACAACAATTACAAATTTTATAATACTATTCTATACTTACATTTACATTACACTTTACAAAAGAAGAGAAAATTAGTAACAGAGTAAATCATAGGTGGATAGTGTACTACTGATATCTCAGATGTAAGTATTAATATCAGTTAATATCAGCCTCTATAAATGATAACTGCAAAGCAGGGAAAATATCATCTTTAACAGACAAACAGTTTTATTATACACATCATAATTCTTCCCTTTAACTAAATTAAGCACTTGATGAAAGTTAACTGATTTTAGAAATCAAGAAAAGGACATATGAAAAAGCTTTATTAATTATATTAATGGCTAAATTAAAGTAAAGTGAAACAGGCAAGATTACAATGTGTCTATGAATAATGCAGATTTATAAAGCATGTACGGTGTAATACAAATTTATAGGCTTCTTACATTTTGTTCAGTAGACTCTCACCTCTGTCATTTACATTCCAGTGGATTTTCACAGCTAATAAAGGAATATTGTGAATGTCTTGAATATGAGTTATTTCTGTACCTAGATGTGAATCTACATGTGGATGACAGCTTGTACTCTTACAGAAAATGCTGTTAGACCACTCTTATCATTTGGTATTTCTTTGGGGATATTTGTTATGACTTTTGGTATGAAAATACGTGCGAAGCCACTCGTCTCGTGTCTCTGTCTCTTCACCTCATGTGAGTCTATCCTATAAAAAAGGTCAACCGGTCAGTCAGATGAATGGCATGTGTAACTGTTGTGCAACTCCCCCTCAAAAGAAAGTGTCAAGTGCACGAAGGACAGGCAGCACAATCCCGGAAACCTGTAAAATCTAACTTCAAAATAAAACTATCCTATTAGAAGTTTCATATTAATTTTCAGTTTAATAAATACAGTATGTTATTGCTCCATGCATCACATAAATACAGCAATTCCAGTCCCAATCCCCCCCACAGATATATCAAATATCAAAACATTTGATATATCTGTAGTTATATTTGCAGCTTAACATAATGTTTTCTGATTTTTACACATATACTACAATTATTTCACTGTGTAAATATTTAATTGCTAAATCACACTCTATATGCAAATTTAACTTTGACTCAATTAAAAATGTTGTACAGTTTCATAACAACTGTTTTCTATTCATGATGTTATAACAGTCTAAGCATATTTGTACACATGTACATGGTAATTAAGTGTTTTCTGCTTTTCAAAATGTGTATGTTAAGTTTGTGAAAAATGTGAAATTTAGAAGTACATAATAAATGCACAGCTCAGAAATGAGGCATTAACTAGAGCATGACCATATTTTTGACATAAGCCTAATGTTATTCTAATATATTGTGGTTCCGCATGCAGGTTGGACTTTTGGTATTGGCAGATGTCTGCGTTCTCCACTGCGTTCTCCAAGTGCCCTTCTAGTTAGTGTTTAAAAAGAGTATTTCAATGTATCTATCTATACATATAAAACATTGATGTGGATGGTGGTATCTCTAAGTAGGCCTACTTGAGTGAGAGTAAAGTAAACCAACAAAAACTGCATCATGATAGGCTACCTTAATGTAATCGTTGTAAAATATTCAAATTTATATAATTGCAGATCAAGAAAACACTCCTGGTTATACTTCAAAACAGTTTTGTCAGATGTTCGCTAGTTTTGAGTTTTGTTTTGAAAGCAACTACAGGAAGTTGTATTATGTTCTGGCACCTTTATGTTTTTCTCTTCAGTCCAATACACAGGCCGAGGAGGAGTCAAAGCTGTTTTTCAAAGTTTCGGTTTTTCGTGTGGCGAAATGTCGAGTGGTGGAATTTAAATCGAAACAGTAAGTAAGTAAGTAAGCCAGCAAGTAGTGTTGGTGGTTTACGACAGCAGAAGTCGTGTCTGATCGTTTCGTTTTCCTCCTGAGCGATTGTTGCTCTCAGGTAAATAATTATTTCTCTGCCTGAAAACAGTCATTAATTATTGGCTTGTTAAAATTACTTTTCCTGTGGACGTGCACATGTGTATGACCTGCACCTTTAAATTTTTGCCTTTCTCTGATGATATCGTATTGTAATAGTAACTTAGGTGCGACGTGCAGCCTACATCGTTAAATCTCTGATTGGTTTGATTTATTGATCGATTCAGTATTAGTTCAACATTTGGCATGCACTAACTGTAACTTTAACTGAAACATGAGATAAGACATGCTGACATGAAACTCAATTCAGTAATTGTTATTGTTTTACAAAGTAGTTGTATTTGTATCCCTCTTCTGTCGGTGATGTAATCATTTAGGAATTATTGCTATGCAAATTTAACAATCTTGACAATCCGCTCTGGAATAATTGATCATCGCAGAAGTAAATTAACAGGTTTACATATTATATGAATTGTGATGTTACAATTATATTTTTCATATAAATAGTTAAATAGTTTAAAGTGTGTTTGATGCGGTTTTTAACGTAAAATGATTGTGACGGTATGTTACGTACAAAAAACTTCACTACCCATCATGCCTTTCGCTGCTTCCAGCCCCCAACTGCTAACGTTTTGGCGTGAAGGAAGGAGGTGGATGTTGGTTGGTGGACGAGAGATGGCAGAAGGAAGTGACGGTTCAGGAAGTGAGTTAGGAGAGATGGTCGAAGGTGGCGGGAGTTATGAAAAGTGGAATATAGCAGGTAGGAAAAATAAGCGTAAAAAGAGCCTAAGATCGGATGGGAGTGATAGTGACGGGAGAGCAACTGTAACTGAAAGGAGGAGAGAGGATTTCAAGGCAATAGTAAAACTTGTGCAAGATGGGGCTTCATTCTGCGATTGGAATCCAATACAGCTAACTAAATCCATAAGTAAAGAAATCGGGGAGGTAAGGAGTGCTAAAATATTGCGAAATGGATCATTACTAATTATATGTAAGGATGGAGTACAACAAGGAAAAGCAGTCAGAATGAATAAAATAAATGGCAAGAAAGTACAATGTTCTCTGATGACTGACAGAAAATTGGTCAGGGGAGTTATTACAGGGATTCCAGTAAATGTAACAGCAGATGATGTTAAAGGAAATGTAACAAATGCCAAAGTGAGTGAAGTCAGACGTCTTAAAGCAAGCAGAAATGGGATTAAAAGTGACAGTCTCTCTGTACTGATCACATTTGATGAGGAAAGACTCCCGGAAAAGATCTTTATTGGATATATGTGTTATGATGTGAGGCCGTATGTTCCCCCACCTCTCAGATGTTTTAAATGTCAGAGGTTCGGACACGTAGCATCCGTGTGCAAGGGAAAGCAAACGTGTGGTAGATGCGGTGGAAACCACGAGTATGGCAAATGTGCAGAGGGGACAAAGCTGAAGTGTTGTAATTGTGGAGGAGAACATAGCTCAGCTTACCGCGGATGCGAAGTTAGTAAGAGAGCGGCAGAGGTGCAGCGAGTCAAGGCTACTCAGGGAATAAGCTACGCAGAGGCAGCAAAGAAGGTTTCAGGAGACGCGCAGGTGACAAGGCAAAATGACACTAGAAATAAAGATGCAGGGAAATGTGTAGGGTGCGATAAAGTGAAGGAGGAAACTCTGATTGTGAACAAGAATGACTTTGTATTCTTTATGGCAGATATTGTCAACTGTTCAGCACAGACAAAAAGCCGAAATGAAAGGATCAAAATAATTGTCAAATCAGCTGAGAAGTACCTTGATGTGAGGGGGCTGCACTGGGAAACAGTTAAAGACATTCTTAATGAAGATAATCAGTCATCTCAGACATGTGTTGGATCCTCTTAATGGTGCTAATTATACTCCAGTGGAATGCAAGAAGCTTAATTTCAAATGGCCAAGAGTTCAAAAAGTATATTGATAAATTGGAAGAGAAACCTGATATAATTTGTATACAGGAGACATGGTTAAAGCCACAGTTGGACTTTATTATAAAGGGATATACTGCTGTTAGGAGAGACAGAAATCCTGGCAACGGTGGAGGCGTTGTGACATTCATACAAAATGGAATGAGTTATAAGGTTATACGTATAAGCACAGATCATGAATCAATTGCGGTTAAGGTATGGACTAATAGAGGTAATATTGGCATAATTAATTACTATAATCCTTGTGGGAAAATAAGTCTAGATATACTAGAGAATGTAGGAGGACTATTGCAAGATAATGTGATATGGTGTGGGGATTTCAATTCACATAACTCACTATGGGGTTGCAATAAAACCGATTTAAATGGTTTAGCAGTTGAAGAATTTATAGATAATCACTGTTTGGTATGTATTAATAATGGGGAAGGAACACGATACAATAGTGTGCAAAACACAGAGGCAGCGCTTGATTTAACACTGGTGTCTAGTGAAATAGCAGGTTTAAGCACATGGAGCGTGATCAAACATACCACAATAGGAAGTGATCACTACCCTGTGGTAACTAAAGTTGGCATTGAAGGTTTTTATGATGAGGGAAAGAAAACTCCCAGATGGAAATTGGGAAATGCTAACTGGGATGTTTTTCAAAAGATCAGTACAAACAGATTCAAGAAACTCAAAGAGGAGAACCAGACAGATGTAAACATAATCAATAGTACAATAGTTAATGAGATTATTCAATCGGCTGAGGAAACAATCCCTAAGAGTACAGGAACTAAACGGACCAAGAGTGTACCCTGGTGGAATGACAACTGTAGTAAAGCCATAAAGGCCAGGAATAAAGCATTTAGAGAACTCAAGAAACATCATTCTCAGGATGCATTGATCCAGTATAAAAGGGCCCAAGCAATAGTAAGGAGGACAATTAGAACACAAAAACGAACATTTTGGAGGCAGTACTGTAGCACTATTGGAAGGGAAGTACAGCTGTCAGATGTATGGGGCATGATTAGAAGAATGGGGGGGATTAGAAGAAATTATGAGATACCAGTGTTGAACACTGGGAACAAAATGGCTGTCAATAACTTAGAAAAGGCGGAACTTTTTGCACAAACATTTGAAAGGGTTCATAGTTCGTGTAATCTCACAGATGAGGCTAGGCAGTGTAGAGAGGAAATCTTAATGAAGAATCCCAAAATAACAGAGAAAAGGGAGGTGTCAGGAGATCCGTTAGATCTACCGTTTAATATGTTTGAGCTAAGAAGAGCAATTACGAGTGCTCGTCAGACCACTCCAGGGAAGGACGCTGTATGTTATGGAATGTTGGCACACATGACAGATAGTGCACTAGACACGGTGTTGGGTTTGTTTAATAAAGTTTGGGATGTTGGCCAACTTCCTTTAGCTTGGAAACAAGCAATAATAGTGCCCATTCCAAAACCAGGAAAAGATCAGTCAGACCCTTCCAGTTATAGACCTATTGCATTAACCTCACACTTGTGCAAAATTATGGAACGAATGGTCACAGAGCGTTTAACATACTTCCTAGAGAGTAAAGCTCTTCTGTACCCGTACCAGAGTGGGTTCCGTAGAGGTCGGAATACAATGGATTCAGTACTGTGCCTAGAATCAGACATCAGGAAAGCACAGACCAACAAAGAAATACTGATAGCTGTATTTTTTGACGTTGAAAAAGCATATGATATGCTCTGGAAAGAAGGGTTACTTATTAAGTTGAAGTCATTGGGTATTGGTGGTAGAACATATAATTGGGTTATGAACTTTCTATTTGACAGGGAAATACAAGTAAGAGTTGGCACAGAATACTCCAGTGTATATAAGGTGGAAAATGGAACTCCGCAAGGTAGTGTGTGCAGCCCATTGCTATTCAACATAATGATAAATGACATCTTCTCTCAGGTTGAACAAAGCGTAGGGAAATCTTTGTACGCAGACGACGGGGCTCTGTGGGTAAGAGGCCGCAATGTGTTGCACGTCAGTAAGAAAATGCAAGCTGCAATAGCTGCTGTGGAAAAATGGGCAAATAAATGGGGATTCAAGTTATCTGTTGCAAAAACACAGGTGATCTGTTTCTCAAGGCGGCATAAAGTCACGCCTATTTCCATGAAGTTATATGAACAACCACTTAAGCAAGTCAAAACAATTAAATTTCTTGGGGTTTGGTTTGATGAGAAGCTCACCTGGAATACTCATTTAGATAAAGTTAAGAACAAGTGTAAAAAGGTCATCAATATACTTCGTTGTCTGTCAGGACAAGAGTGGGGAGCAAGCAGAGCAGCTCTACAAAATATATACTGGGCACTCATGAGATCCGTTTTTGACTATGGATGTGTAGCGTACATGTCAGCAGCAGAATCAAACCTTAAGAAGTTGGATGTATTACAAGCTCAGGCCTTGAGAATTTGCAGTGGATCAGTCAGAACATCTCCGGTGTCAGCAATGCAGGTGGAAATGGGAGAAATGCCGTTAAGAATCAGGCGAGTAAAGTTAATGTTGGCATACTGGGTTAATCTCCAGGGGCAATGTGACTCTCATCCTGCCAAGAGTCTCTTAATAGATTGCTGGGAACACAATGAGACAAATTTCACAAGTTTTGGGTGGATTGGTGATGCAAAGGCAGAAGTCATAGGATTACGACAATTAGACTACAGCCCTACAGTGTCACAGTCTTCCATTCCTCCCTGGTTATTCCCAACACCAATTGTAGATCTAAACATACAGCAGGAGTTGAAGGATATGTCAAAGAAACTTCCAGCATGCAGTATAGTACAGAATTACTTTGATTTACATTTTTCAGACTCCATGTTTATATTCACAGATGGCTCCAAAGATCCTGATACAGGGCGTGCAGGTGCAGCAGTCTTTTTCCCAGCAAGTGAGTCATATATCAAGAAAAGAATATCAGATCATGTCTCAGTGTATACCACAGAGTTGACTGCAATATTACTGGCCCTGCAGTGGATAGAAGAGAGGGAAACAAATAATACTGTCATTGCATCTGATAGCTTGTCTGCTCTAATGAGTATTAAATCTGGCAAATCATCATTTAGATCCAAAATCCTCAATGACATATTCCTTATATTGTACAGGATGGAGCTAAAGGGCTTATCCACATGCTTCCTTTGGGTTCCTGCTCATGTTGGTGTGGAGGGAAATGAGCAGGTGGATATTCTGGCTAGGCCTGGGCGAAAAATCGATTGAATGAATTAATTCGAATTTTTTGTTGCGGGCGATTTAAAAAATAAGTAAATCGAGTTTTTGTGTAATAGCACATTTTTGGCTCCCCGGGGTTTCCGTAGTGTTCGTTTCCCATAGCGACAACATCATACACTAAACAGCAACAGCAAGCGACAAAATGGCTACCGGTGAGAGCGGGAAGTTTGTTCCCAAGAAAGGAATAAAGTCATCTGTTGTTTGGAACTGGTATGGGTTTGCTGCGACAGATGTGGAACAACAGACACCACGCTGCAACATTTGCCTAAAGCCTATCGCAGTGAAAGGCAGCAGCACCACAAACCTATTCCAACACCTGAAACAGAGACATCCAGCCGAATATGAAAAATGCCAGTCTCTCCGCGATGAACAAAGCCGCACTGACCAACAAACCTTATTGCTTTCCTTAAGTAGGGGGGGAAATCGGAAAAAATCGTAAATTGAATTAAAGTAAATAAAATCGGAGATTTTATTTTTAGGCCATATCGCCCAGCCCTAATTCTGGCCAAAGGAACACTCAAAATCAAACATGTAGACCTAAAAACCCCTTTAACTAAAGATGAAGCTAAGACATTTATCAGGACCTATGCACAGTCAGTTTGGCAGGAGCACTGGGACAACAGTGAAACTGGAAGGCACCTATATAATGTACAGAGACAGGTTGGTGCCGGAAGGATGGTGGGCTGGAAACGTAGGGAAGAAAATATAATCACTCGTCTGAGAATAGGACATACAGGTCTCAACCTTTCATTATATAAAATAGGTAAGCACCCAACTGGGAAATGTATATATTGTAACCAACTAGAAACGGTTGAACATGTTCTCCTTCAGTGTAGGAGATACACTATCAATAGGGAACGCCTCTTTCAGTCATTACGGAAGGCAAAACATCATGATATCTCATTGGCGGGTCTCTTGGGGAAAACAGCAGGCCAGATATATTGTCATATAATTAAGTTTCTTAAAGAAACTGAGTTAGGAAAAAGAATTTAATTTATGTTTATTTATTTTTTTTTGTTTTTTTGTTTTTTTGTTGTTGTTGTTTTTTTTTTTTTTTTGGTTTTGGTTTTGTTTATTTCATTTATTTCCTGCCTAATCTCTCGTTCCACACTCCAGTCCAGCTTGTGGCGGTAATGCACCGTTAAACTGGTTTGCCAACCGCCATTAAACCCTAAAGAAGAAGAAGAAGAAGAAGAAGTTTTGGCGTGAAACTCAAATCCCGGGCGGGAGAAGACCGAGGCAGTCGGTTAGCAGCGAAACCTTTTGAGTTTGAAACGGAAATCATAGTTTTAAATTGTTTTTAAATCACCGTCTTAACTTCTGAATGAGTTGAGTTGAGTTTTTTGTCGGGTCGAAGAGGAGGCAGGATAACGACGTACCAACAGTGTCGACTCAACGTACCGCGGAGAGACGGGAAGTGATTCAACAGGTCGGCTTTAAGTTTCTTTTAAAACTGGTTTTAAAGTTTACCATTTCACCTAGGTTAGTGGTTCAACTGCTTTATACTCGCTTTCGTCTCGTTAATCTAGACTATTTAAATTAATTTACGTTTTCTTTAACAGTTAATTTACCACGTTTCCTTTTTTCAGTTTCCCTCCTACACGTTGAAACTAATGCTACAACCCCCAACCCACATTTTGCTGACTGGTTGTTCATAGAAAAAAAAAAATCACTTTTACGTAACACGGTTGTTTTAATGTTAATTAAAACTATCTACGTTAATTATTTTTTGCCAAATCGTATAACGTTACAGTTGTAATAAATACAAAGCAACGTAAATCAGTTAAGATTAACTTAAGTTGGAAATAACTTTCTGATCATGCTTCTTTAAAAATCTAAACAATTCTTTACTGGATCCCTTAAGTTAGTAACTTACCTGTCTGAAATAGGGCTGGGCAATAGTTAAAAGGTGGATTTTTAAACCAGATGGTTAATTGTGGTTTTAAACTTTGACTCTTTATGGTCAGGACAGACACTTGATGCCAAAAAGTGGATCACTTAACAAATCTGAGGCAGAACGTTTAAAACAATTATGATTAAAAAGAAATTCAACAAGCATGAGTAAAATTAAGTAAAGTCAAAAATAAATATCTTAATCGAACAATTAAGTGCTAATTCGTTTTGATTCAAACAAATTAAATCAAACATTTATTGAACATTTGTTATGTTATTGAGGAAAAGCATACTGTGATAATTATCATTATTTTTTTATTGATGTCTTAAACTTGGAAAAACAGTCCTAAAAGACTTGATTAACAACAGAGAATCGTAATCATTAATAAGCCTTAATATTTATTTTACTAAATACTTATTGAATTTACTATTGAGTGGCTGCTTATTTCCTCACAGATTTTTGTTAATGACGTCAGCCTTTTGATATTACTCCATTCTTCTGTAGTACTAGTGTTTTTGAATTATAAAAACTACCTCATTCCTTTACTAAGAACAAATCTGTGAAACTATCATCTACAAAATGAACAGTAGATTCTTTTTGGGATCAACTTAACAATTTGTGTCTTCCTCTGCAGTTTAAAGATGATCATGAAGGGGCAGAAGAGGAAACTACCACCAGAGGACATTGAGGTTTCAGATAGGACCAGCCCCTTCTGGGAGAGCCAGCGGCAGTTTGTGTTTTCAGTTTCCCTGAACAAGTATCAGCGTGGCCAGGAGCTACCTGAACCCAGCCTTCGGCGGTCCGTTCTGATAGCCAACACACTGCGGCAGGTCAGCCTGGAGGAGTCTGGGGCGCCCTCTGTAGACATGGAGGTGTCTCAACCACCTTGTAGCTCCTCATCTTTACTCCAGGAAAGTAATTTTACTGGAGTTGCTGCAGCAAAACATCAGTCTGCAGTGACGTTTGCTAACAGCCACTCAACTCTTGCCAGCTGTCCTCTGGTTTCTTTAAATAACTTATCAAATTGTGCCGCAAATAGGTCACCAGCAAGCTGCCACTCGAGCATCCCTCTGTCTGTAAAAGATGAAGATGAGGATTGGGGATCGATGTCCACGGATCCTGATTTCTCCCTTTCAGCTGCCATCTCCTCCATTCTCACTGCACTTGACTCTACCATTGACGGGAGCCCACAGCCAGCTCCACGGTCACCTCTCAGGTCCTTGGAGAACCTTTCGGGGCCCTCTGAGGGTGGTGTTGCATGGGTGAAGCAGGGAGTCAGAGGTTATGGGGGAAGCTGGGAGCAGCAGGAAGACTGCAGGGCATGGGAGAGCAGCATGGATGTGATGAGGTCCAGCTACCTCAGTGAGCTCACTGTGGAGGATCTGTTCCAGGATATAGACACGTCCCTGCTGGAGAGGGACATGGGAGTACTTGGGCTCAGAGGCAGTGGAGATGGATACCCAAGCGGGGATGACCTTTTACGGTACCTGCCGCCTTTCTCCTCCTCCTCCTCCTCCTACTCGAACCCCTTCTCTCTCTCCCTCAACCAGAGTATGAAATGCCTGCCTTCGTTCTCCTCATTCAGCCCATTGTCTTCCTCATCCTCCTCTTCACCATCTCTTTCTTCACCACCCTTCTCTAGTCATAATCATGTGAGAGAAGGACTTGAGCTTGAGCATCTGATGGAGATCCTGGTGGAGTCCTGATAGCCTCACTGTCATCATACTGTAAGAATTTTAACAGGAAGTAACCTGAACACCATTAGGTAGTGAACAAAAACTGAATTCCAAAGGCAAAGGCCTGGATTGTTAAACACAAATATTCACTTTGCTGTTTTTATAAATTGCTCAAGAAATAGTATATGATGGGCTTAAGAAAGTAGTAAGAAATGTTGATGCCCAAGGCAGAAATGCTACATGAGGAGTAACCGATGTATCTGGCAGCTTTTTGTGTAACATGAAGGCTTTTGGAAGTCAGGTCACTGTGAAAATGCAGCGGACTGAAAGTTGTGGCGACACATGGGATAAATCCCTTTTAAAAGTATACAATGTTAATGTGAGTTCTGAGAAAATGTGATTTGGCTGGTGTTGGAAGGAGGATGGTTGAAACACTAATATTATACGTCAAATCTTCTGTGAAGAAATCCTTTAAGGGGCAGAGATCAGGTCAGGATTTCAAAGAGTAGGAGCACCCAGAAAAAATGGTGTCTTTGCATATTTATAATATCAAGTGGTTTTGCCAGAAGAAATCCAAAAGAATCAGTGTTTTTGTTCAGTTACAAAAAATGAAAATGTATAATTCTTGAAGGTTGTCTTTAACTGGGTGTTTTTTCTTTGTATTCCTCCGTTTATCATAAGTTCTGTTTCTGTAGATACAACGGCGGCACCATTACATTTTGTTAATGTATCCTGTATTAGCAGTAGTGGAAAAGGGCATTTTCAACATGCTGGCTGTTAACGCATGTCCGATCTGAAGGCTGAAAAGACTGAAACTAGAACTAAGTTCGTGTCTTTTAATAGATGCTTTTATTCAAAGCACATGCAGCATTTTCATTGTGTATATAAAACATCCTCATGGGTTTTTATGTGACAGTGCAGAACCACTTTGTGTCATTAGTTAAAGTCACAGCCACTTCACAACAGCTTCTGTTGTACAGATGTGTTATTATTGATCAGTCCCGGTGGGAGTCCAGCATCATGCTTTGAGCCACATTGGCTGGATGGTTGTTCACTCTACAGTTTCTGCTTGCTTTAGTGGAGTTCACGTTTTATATGGTTATTGCACTTTTGTTAATATGCATTTCTAACATCAGTCATGTGAGCATGTGGTTTACTTTGTATTTAGTAGCAATGGCAACGTTACATTTGATTCCCTTTTAACCTGTAAAGTTGAGTCATTTTAAATGTTTGGTTAATGCTATTTTTTTTTTTTTAAGAAATACACTTAGGAAGTGTGTTTTTAACTGTAACTTAACCAGCTATAGATGTTGATCAGCGTTTAATCGAACACTGCTGAAATGCATTTTTTTTTGAGGAAGTATATGATGCCTGTTTTTGCAGGTTTTTGTACATTCATCCGGTTTATGGATCAAAGTTGCTTTCTATGCAAAGGTCCTTTCTGAATATCTGGGCTTCAGTCTCAAACTATTTATAAATGGCATATTTTGTTAACAAGACGAGTAATTAATGTAAAACCATACTTGACAATTCACTAATGGTATATTAACATACCGTCATGGCAGTAGTTATTTACGTTTATTTTCTCTACAAATATTTTAATGGTTATGCTTTGAAAGTGAGGGCAGAATGCCCATAAACTATAAATTTAGACTTCTTTCAAAAGAAGGCAAATGTCTGTTTACTTATGTTTTTAATAAAATGTGAAAAAGAAGTCATGCTGTATTGTCATTGTTAAAGCATCACACAGTGCTACAAAAAGCTATGCAAAGAGTGGGAAAATGCACAAACGACACTTTCTTGGCTTTGACGTCATCATCTGATGCTGTATTTTCATGTAGGACCCTGGAGAAAAGCTGCAGTGGTAGGTTTAGAGAATCAGAAAAGGGTAACCACAGATGTTTGTTATAGTCACCTTCTACGCCTCCCACCTGCTACCTTGTAGAAGACGGTGTTGGTCATTTGGGTGTTGTCATTATCACACCTGCATCAGAAAACTACAAATATTAGAAATGTGGAGTTATCAGGTATTTATCTGAACAAAACAGACTCAATCTAGTTTTGGTTCCAGCCAGATCCCTAAAAGACCAGGACAAACACCAATTACCTTATGACATAACATTACGTGGATCCCTGGTGGCAGCTTCACCTACAGGCACGCCACACTGTAAATAAAGCAAATTCTAAATATCTGTAAAAGGGGAACACTTGATGGACAACACAGGACGTGCATGTAAAATCTTTTGGATGATTCTATGGTACAAACCAACTCGCTGAAGACGAGGATGAGATGGTTCTTTATTTTAATTTATGGTAGTCTAATATGAATACATGTTAAACTGATTAAACTACAATAACATACACACCAACATAAACTGACAATTTTACAATATCAGGATATAATTAGCCTGTTTGTTTGACTACAACTTCAATGGTAAAAGAAAAACTGAACATGAAAAGGTGAGGTAAGCGATTCTAATCAAACACATGTCTTTTTGGCAAATACCGTCTGCCAGCTGTCCATTCTGTGTGCGCTGGAAAAAAAAATCTGGTGTTTATACTCAGCCCTGGCTCTAAATGGGAAATACAGTGGATTGTACCAAGCCACACACCATTTCAGCCATAACTTGTGTGAAAGGTAGCATTAAATGACTTGCCCACAGACATTCAGCTTACTTCCTAGTAGTCATTACTTGGGGTGTGGTTTGCTCTATATAAAAATGGTATTTGTCATGGTGTTGGATTTTTTTTTCCAGAAACACTTACCCCACCTTTAAAGTGCATTTCTATGGTGGATAAAATCCAGAGTGGAAATCACACAGAACAGGTCAACTAACATTTGGTTTTACATTCAAATG